ACACTGGGATACCTACACATGGGTGCACCATTCTATGCACTGACAAAAGTGCTCATTGAGTATATGCAGTACTAACGCAAGGATCCAAATCTGCACACACAAGCAATACATTAAATGCAGCAACTTTGTGCCAACGTAACTTGCATCAGCAAAGTCTGTAGTGAAAACAAAGCCAATGTTAACAGAAGAATGCTTCCGTCAATGTACCTAACCTCGTTTGAGAGGTGATGTTCTCATGCTAATGAAAAAAAACCCTCCCCGTCAATAAAAGTTGTGTCTACAATACAAGGTTATGCTGGCATAGCTACACCAGTGTAGCTATTTAAATATAGTACTGGTATAGTAGACATTCTTAGAGCTAGCTGCAGATAACAGCCATTAGCCAGCTTCAGCAATTCTACAAAACCAGAAAGTTCTCTCTCAGAAATGTGAATTTAAACATGCTAAAAAGTCTCAGAGGGGTCACCGAGTTAGTCTGTAACTTTAAAAACGAGTAGTCCTGTGGCACCTTAGAAACTAACAGAAATATGTACAGTACCATATGCTTTTGTGGGCAAAACCACAGATGTTCTTGTCTGAAGAAATGGGTTTTGCCCACGGAAGCTCATGATACTATATGTATTTTTGTTAAGTCTTTAAGGTGACACAGAACACTCGTAATTTAAACATGCTTTATTAGAATTAACTCTTCAATCACAAATGGTGATTTAGAGAGGAGGTGAAGGAAGAAAAGATAAAATACGGAAGCTGACAGCAAAGGATACAAATTTACATTTCCTCACTGGTGACAATGGATAGGGAAGCTAAAGTAGCAATGGAAAAAAGTCAAAGACCAGGAGGGTTAAGAACAATGGAAGGAAGGAATTCTTGAAATATATCAGGAACAAACAAAATCATAATGATATAGGTCCAGCACTAGATAAGGATGGTAAGTAAAACGGTCACATCATGATACAGAATAAGCAGAAGTTAATATTTCTGTTCTGCATTTGGATAGCAGCAGAATGATGTTCATACATGCAGACAATGAAATACTTCCTATTCCATCAATAATAACTATAGTGCTTAGTTTTAATAGGTGCTGTTTGTCATGCATGTTAAAATCTGCAGGACTCAATCATTTGCATCCAGGAGCATTAGAAGAATTGGTTGAACAGCTCTCTGAATCATTATGTTAATGGTCTAGAATATTGGAGACTCTCCAAAGGACTGGAAAAAGCTAACACTGTCCCAGTATTTAAAAAGAGTAAAATGGTATGATCTGCAAAACATATGCTGATTAATTTGAGGTCATTCTTGGATAAAATAATGGAAAGGGTTCTATGGATTGCAACCAGTAAAGAATAGTGGTATAATTATTGCCAAGTACAATGGTTTCCCAGTAAAAAGATCTTGTCATACAATCTTTTATAGTTTATGAGTACACAAGGATTGGTTCATAAAGGCTGACTACTTAAGATTTCGGCATTTGAGCGACATTTTTATCTAAAACTAGCACTATATTAAAATCAATGTTAAATGGTTAAGAACTAGTTAACAGACAGCTCTCATACAAAGTAATTGTATAGAGGGACTCATGCTACATGAATGAGTTTCTAACAGTGTTCCACAGGGATCTGTTCTCGTACCAGAGGTATTTAATATCAATGATCTGGAAGAACATGTAACATCATGCTGGTAAAACCTGCAGAGAACCCAAACTGGTGAAGTGGTAAATAAAGATGGGGCCTGTTCAGTTACATAACCTGGAAGTGAATCACCTGTAAATCATTCAAACAACATTTTTTTAAACACAACCAAAAGCAAGATCATACATCTAGGACCAAAGATTGTAAGTCATACAAGATGGAGGACCATACACTGGAATGCAGTGACACTGAAGTGGACTCGGGGATAACAGGAGATAACCAACTGAACATGAGCTCCTACCCATTGCAATGCTATAGCTAAGAGGGCAAACATGATCCTTGGATGTGTAAACAAGGAAACATCAAGAAGGGAGGAGGAATTATTTCTTCATGTGACATAAGTGAGACTATTACTGGAATACTTTGTCCAGTTAGTGTGTCCACGCATCCAAAAGGATACTGAACAATGATAAAGGATTCAGAAAAGTGCTCTAAGAATTATCTGAAGTTTAGATACTATAACTTGTACCAAAAGGCTTAAAAAGCTCAATCTGAGTAAAACTTACCCAAGAGAAGTGACCTGATCATGGTCCCTGAGTACTTACATGGAGAAGAGATTTCTGATAGTAGATGGCTCTTTTCCAACCATTGGATTAGTTGAAGTTAGAGAAATTCAGACTAGAAATAATGCACAATTTTTTAAATCAGGATAAGTTATCAGTGGAACAATTTAACTATGAACGTAGTAGATTTTTCCTCATCTGAAGCTTTTAAATGAAAACTTGATATGTTTCTAGAATATATCTTCTCGCTCAAATCCAAGTTATGGGCTTGAGGCAGAGTTTACCAGGTGAGGTTCTTTGGCCTGTACTATGCAGGTCAAACAAAACAATTTTAAGGGTCCTTTCTGGCCACAAAAACCTATGTATTTTTGTCTTAGATTAGACCTCTGGATCAAGTAACCCATTCCCTGCATGTTTTGGAGGTATTAAAAAAATTAAGGCCATTGCAAGTCTGAAAATCCATCTCAGTGTTCCCAATATTTTTTTAATTTAAAATATTTCAAAGTGGAATAGTCGAATGAGAGATTTGAAGCTGTGTATTCCAGACTGTCCAATGTGTCCATGTCCACAATGGTCAGCAATACTCCCAGCACCTCATGTCAGCTTGTAGTTTTTGTTTATGGATCTAATTGAGGGAACTATATCTGAGATCTGCCAGTGTATACAACTTAAATAATTTTGGCAGCTAAAAATATATGGAAGGCTATGCCTTCTTCCAAAGAGACAGAGAGGAAGGATTCCTCCTCCTATTCCCCCTCCGGGCAGCCACTGGGGGGCCAACACCAGATTTCCCAGGGATGGAGCTGGCTCTGGTATTAGGAAGATAGAATAAGGGATGTCCTGAGGTAGGGAGGTGGGATGGGTTCTGGAGTGGCCTAGTGGATAGGGCATTCATCTGGGGACGAATGTATGATCGATGTATGATCATCCTTGCTCTCAAAGAATCAGATGGCATAGTCTTGCTGCTCAAGAAGGGACTGTCCCACTTTCCTCCGTACCTATGGGGAGGGCCAGAGAGGAAGAACTGAATAGATTCTCAGGCTCTGAAAGGTGCCATTCATTTAGAGTTGGAGGCCAGCGATCACTCAGAAGGAAGAAAGAACCCCAGGAAAAAAGCAGCAGGCCAGCAGCTTCTTCAGTTACATAGGAAACTATTTGAGTCCCTTGCTAAGGAGCAGACTGCATGAAGTGCTAAGCCACTTCCTTTTCCCACTGATGCTATTGCAGATAATGCACTTGGCCTCTTAGGATATAGCTACACTGCAATTAGACACCAGCTGATGGCCTTTGCCAGCTGACAGACTCACAGGGCTCAAGCTAAGGGTTGTTTAATTCTAGAGTAAATGTTCAGGCTCAAGATGTAGTCCAAGCTCTGGGACTATCTAATCTGGCAGGGTCCTTGGGCCCAGGCTCCAGCCTGAATGTCTACAGCACAATTAAACAGCCCCTTAGCTGGAGCCCCCAGACTAGCTACAGGTTTTAATATGCAGTGTGTGGACATACCCTCAGTCTCTCCTCTTCTATTTATGCCTTGCTGGGCTGAATGTTACCAAGGTCCCAGAGTTCAAAGTGCTGCACAAAGAATACGCACCTCAAAACTGTACAAAAACCAGAAATTAAATACAATCACATGACTCTCCTACTAGGTTCTGAATTTAAAAGAATTCAAAATGATCTTCACAATCTGGAAAAGAGTTCTGGAATCAAGAAGATGAAATTCAATATAGACAAGTGAGAAGTACTTCACTTAGGAAGGACAAATCAAATGCACAACTACAAAACTGGCTATGCAGTAGTAACACTGAGAAGGCTCTGGAGCGGTGTAACAGATCACTAATTGAATGAGTCAACAATGTAATGCAGTTGTGAAAAGGCTAACATTTTGGGGTGTATTAACAGGTTTGCTGTATTTCAGGCACAGACGGTAATTGCACCACTTGGTACTGGTGAGACCTCAGCTGGAATACAACATCCACTGGGTGCCATACTTGAAGGAAGATGTGGATGAACCAGAGAGAGTCCAGAGGAGAGCAAAACAATGATGAAAGGTTTAAAAACCTGACCTATAAGACAAAAAACGGAGCACCCTTAGTCATAAGACTATAAAACCGAAGGGAGGACTTGACAACAATATTCAAATATGTTAAGTGCTATTATAAAGAGGAAGGTAATCAACTGTTCTCCATGGTCACAGAATGCAGGACAAATAGTAATGACTTCATTTGCAGCAATCAAGATTTAGTTTAGATGTGAGGAAAAACTGTCTAACTGTAAGGATAGCTAAACATTGGAACAGGTTACCAAGTGAGATTGTAGAATCTCCATCACTGGAGATTTTATAAAAACCAGCTGGGCTAACATCAGTAAGGGATGACCTGGTTTACTTGATCCTGCCACAGTGAGGGGACTGAACTAAATGACCTCTCAAGGCCCCTTCCAGCCCTACATTTCTATGATGCTAATTAATCTGTGTAATTCATCCTGTAGTTTACTCTCATATCCCGCAAAGCACACGGTAACTAGTCAGATCTAGTATCCATGTGCTCAGAACTGAAGGACAAACTTAAGTGCAATCTCCCCAGAGCCACCTTCGCAGCATCACGAGACAGTGCTTCTGCTCACACAGCCCAAAACCTCACTGGCAGCTGCTTTCTATTGTACTTTCCATCACCATCGCTAAATTTATGATAAAAGATATCGTGATATACAGAGCCAAATACAGAAATTCACTTCCAACTTTGTTCATTTTCTAAAAGTATTTACACTTCTATTGGGTTTAAAGGAGTTAAGGTTTTAAAGAATTACTTACCAGTCCCTCATTATCTTCTGAGGTTCTCTGGTAGTGTGCTGCAAGAGCAACATAATCCTGGGCCTGCTTGTTACATTCAAGACACTTTAGTCCCTGGCGGATTAGTCTCAATGGGTCTGCATACAGAGGCATGGCTGGGTAAGCGACGGTAGAGATTCCTGTCCCACTCCCTGATGCAGCACTGGGTTTACATAAAGAAGATGGAAAATGCGAAGTCTGAGGAGCCAAAGACACTGAAGAGTTTGTAGGAGAAGGTGAGAGCATTTCATCTAAGGAAATTGGTTTCATTAACAGCTGAGAACATTGCATAATCAGTCCTTTGCTCTTGTGCTCTCTTGCATGTCTAAGCAAACTACACCGGTTAAAGAACAGCAGCAGAGTTGAACACTGAGTACACATGACTTCAATGTGGACACTTCGCCTGCTATAGTGTTGAGTTAGGCTTTTTTCTAAGGCAAATGAATCTCCACATTCCAGGCAGCAATACCCAGATGCAGGTAACTGAATACTGGTGTCAGGAGGTGGGCTGAGGTTTGGAGAATACACTGGCACAAGATTGTTACTATTTAGTAGTTTGTTAAATGCCTCCACAATTACAGGAGCAGCTTTCTTTACTTGATGCACCAGTGGCACTGACATTTGAGTTAGCGGAGGCTGACTTCGCTTTTGCACAGAGGATTTTGCTGTGACAGAAGCAGCAACACTGTGTGGAACTAAGTTGAGATTTGCCAGATGTACGGCCTTGGGAAGTAGGGTGGAGGTTGTGGGGTTAGAAGGCTGCGTCACAGTGCCCTGCTGCTGCCTCTTGTTGAGCTGCTGACCTATATTGCCTATTTTTATGGCATCACTGCCACAGTTTGGCAGTGGAGACAAAGACACATTGGGCGTGCTGTTTTCAGTAGTATCTGTCTTCATATCATCTATACATGGGCTCGCAACATTTGACACCTGAATAGCTGTGGCAGCTGCATTTTTGGTGGTCCCTGTACTTGCCTCATTTTCCGTAACTGCACTAGTATCAGGTGAAGGGAAGGCCTTAATAAATTCTTCCATGGCTGAACCTTCTGCAGATGACTCCTCAGGGGATTTGCCCAACTCTTCAACTTCTGGCAAGATTCTAGTAACAGTTCTTTTAATTTCACCAGAAGACATCTTAATAGTTTTTATTCTAACTTTGGGAATGGCTGGGGGAGAGCCAGCAGCCATGGAGGGAGAGCCTTTTCCACTACTATCACTGCATACACTCCGAGGACTCTCAGGCTGCTTGTTGGCCTTTTTTACCACCTCTAAGGGGCTTCTTGGGCTCTTTGGTGACTTAGGCATTTTGGGACTTCCTTTCATGCCATCTTTAAAATGGCCAGAAGATTCTTTCGTGAGACTTGTTTGATCTTCTTTTGGAATACACGCAACTTTTTTGGCCTGAAGCGCTACTAATGCAGCAACACAAGATGACAATTTTGAGTGAGCTGGCTTTAGACGCTGGCGAGGTGGGACTGATGAAGAAAAGTTCACTTCAGCCATAGACCCTCTGCTTTCTTTAAAGTTATTGTTGTGGAAACTTCCAAATGCCACACCTTCCCCAAGGAAGTTGCTGGTATCCACCAGATCTTTGCGGGATTCTACAAACTTCTCTGCTACTCTGTCTTGTTCCCTTCTGCTCAATTCCAGCCTGCTTTCTTGCTGGGTATGAATCTCCATCTTTCGTTCTTTTTTACTATACTGATCAAACATACTTAATTCTGGCTCTGGTAACTTCTTAAGTGAATCTAGAACTGCGGTTGAATTTGGAATATACATTGGAGTTGGTGGGAAATATGGAGTTTGGGCAAGTTTTGGTTTATTGCCAATACTGTTCTCTTTGAAAGCATCCTCTGGTTCAGGGCTGGAGATAGGGCTGAACTGACTGAATGTAGGTAAAGGTTCTGACTTCGATTGGTCCAGTTTTTCAGAATAGTTTTTTGAACTATCACCATTAATAAAAGCAGAATCAAATTTCCCATAATTGTGCACCAAGTTGTGAGCCTCTGAGGGCAGATCAGACCCACGGAACCCATTGTGTAACAGACCAGCTCCAAGGTGGTTCCCTTCCTTCTCTGTTTCAAAGGATTCCTGACGACTTGTGTTCTTCACAATAACACTCACAACAGGGGTATCAGAAGCTGGCACCGAGTGGGACAAGGACACGTTTTCATCTATACACATTCCTGATGGCTTTAAGTTATTTTCATTTTCTTCACCAGTTGACTGTATGGTCTCCTTGGCATCAAGGCTAGTTGGGTCTGGGATGTCAAAAGCAGCCAAAAGATCATCGAAGTCCGGGGTTTTCATGTCCCCCATGATGAAAGCTGCAATTAAAAGCAAAACACACGATCAAAGGTCACCTCTGGAAAAGTCTATTAAACTCCTATTTAGATTTATTCTAATGAAGAAAAAAGTGAGGACTCTAGCCATTCTGGGAAGCTAGGATGGGAACTTTCAACATGTTAGAACTTAAACTTGGTTTAAACAGGTGGGATTTTACTGTTCATTTGGAGATGGATTAACTCAGGGCCATTCAGCCTTTTTGGCCCACAGCCTAATGTGTTACTTTGTGGCTCCTTGACCTTTTAAATCAAGACTCTGGGGCAGATCCTCTGCTCCCACAGGTACCCTGCTGTGGATTCCCAACATAGAGGGACCCCCAGTGGGCATCTGGCTGTTTCCTACACTCCCCTAGCACAGGCGTACCAGACTGGGAGGGGAGTTGCTGCAGTGTCTTGTGCTCTGGCTACCCAGTTGGTGCACAGATCCTTGTGACTACTGGCAGCTGGTGCGACTTAGAACACCGGGGCAGCTGTCTCAACCAGGGCTAAGTCAGAGATTCAAGGAACGGTAAGTGGATACTTATTCTCAGCTTCTCTTAGCGCGCATATCTCTCTCTCTCTCTCTCCCCCCCCCCCCCCGGGGGGGGGGGGGAGCCTGAGTAGGAAAGGGGACACCATTCTTTCCTTTCTACACTCAGGGAGAGTCAGTTAAATCCCAACCCTGCTTTCTCTAGGGCTCCCATAGCCTGAGAGGGAAGCAGGTAATTAAGCAACTGATGCTATTCTCCTCCCTCTCATGCAACCCAACAGGGAACCAGTGGGATAGCAGCAACAGCTGCTGCTCCTCCTGGAGCTAGTGGGGAAAAGTGCCCCCTATCTCCTGCTTCCATAAATACAGGGTGGAATAAAAAACTGCATTATAAAACTAAAAATCAGAGGCCATGGCTCACGGAGAACATCTTCAATTAATCAGAGTCACCCTCAAGGGCCAGGACATAAAACCTCAAAGACGGTCTGCAAACACTAGCTATTATTTCCTGGAAAGGTTACAGTATAGCCAGACCTGAAGTATTTAGTTCTGCCAGTCAGGCTTCTGGAGAAAAGCCACAGAAGCAACAGTCCAGCCCAAGAGAAACAGCACTGAAAAACGAGATCCCTGGTTTCTGCCAAAGCAACCTAAATAATAGAAGTCTTTACTAAATATTTTAGTATGTTGTACAGCACCTTGAGCACTCAGCTGGGGATTAGTTTAAGAAAGGGCCCATCCTGTATTCCTTAATTGGCTCATGACATTGAGGAGTTTTGCCTGAGTACAAAATGAAAGCTCATGCCTAAAAGTCGTAATCCAAACCAAAAGTTTCTAACCATTTCAGGTTCTAACTTTCTGCAAAGGAAGGTAAGTATTAAACAGAGATTGACTGCAGATTCACAATGAAGGTTATAACTGAGTTTTCATTATACACCTTCTCTAACACACAAGAGATGTGTGATCACTGTTAGAAAAGACTATATATGCTTTCCTTTAGATGTACATACATTCATGAAACATTGAAGTTATTACAGCTTCAAGTGAGACCCTTTTGAAATTTAAGACAACTCATGTTTTTTCAGCCGCCTCAAATTTTAAAATGGCAAGCTTATGAATTCAGAATTTGTATATACTATATGAAGAAACTAGGGATTTTAAAATACTTTTTTGGGGGGTAAATTTTCAGCAATTATATATTTACATGCCAGGGGGAGGGGTGGCTCCACGGGAGCTGGTGTGCCTGGGGAGCTTGCTTAAAAGCCAGCTTCCCCACAAACACCAGCTCCAGCCTGCTTCCCCCCCACCTCATGGGAAAGGGGCTCTGCGTGTAACTGTGAAGGTTAGTCGATTCTTTTGCCAAGGGGAGGGTAAATTAAACAGGGTTCTTTCCGTTTTTCATTACTCATGACAAACACTTTCTTATAGAAGCCACCTCTCCACAGTTTAATAGCTGAAACTCACATTTAAAATATATTCCCTTCCAGAATGCTGTACAAGAAACAACTTAGGTGAACAACCTTGTGCTTGTTTCTGAGCTGGGTCTAGCAGCTTCTTCTCCCTCTCCCCCATACGGCATTTATAGTTACCATCCCTAGTAGAAACTGTATGCACGACACGTGTGCAAAGGATGTGAAAGTGTACACATTTAAATGGTTAATTGAGGATTCTGGACTCGTGCTTTGTTACATAACAATGGAACATACTGGTCTTTTTTCTTTCTTCGCCCCCCACTCCATCTGTACTTAGACAAAACTAAATTAAACATTATTCACATTATTGTGGTGCCTCAGGATCAATCAAGAGTTGGTCCTCACACTGAGTAGCTAACAGTCCCACCCCGAAAAGTTTACAAATTAAATAGACAAGATACACAGAGTGGGAGGAGGTAGGGATATTATACAGAAGCGGAGTGAACAATGTGTTAATGGGATGTGTGATTTGGTTTTTCAGGAACAGTTCCTGAACACGGCTAACGATAATGTTAAAATAGTGGGATAAAACGATGGAATCAGCAGAATCTCTTGCTATGCGGATCAGTCTGAGCACTCATAAGCACATGGAAGGGGTAAATCACAGGCAAAGGGGTTAAGTTTGGTGGAGGCAAGGACCCTGTTTTACCCCTGGGAAGGAGGAGGATAGATGTAGTTCAATCCCGTTACTCGTCCCAAGTCTCCTACATTGAGGAGCTCAGAAGGTGCTATCACTGTAACTCCACTGAGCACCTGAAGGACAAATGCCCAAAGCTGAGTGGGAACAAGCAGCAGGTAACTCATGGAAATGCTGCTTCCCAGAACACAGGGATCACTTCCCACACAGGGTTTATGACAGTTAAGTACTGAGCATCTTCATGCTGTCAAAATTAAAGGCAGAGAAGACCAAGGGTGGAGGGATACCGTGCAGAAATTCTGTAGTGGGGGAAGGGACTTACTGAAGAAGATAGTCTCATTGGGAAAATGGCAGAATTAGAAGTGGCCAGCGACCAGAACATCTTTGCACCTTTGGCTAAGGTACAGGTTCAGACAGGGCAGAAACAAGCTGAGATGAGTCACAGAATATTACATCATTTATTTGGGGAAATAACCTTTTTTTAGGTGGCTGAATCCATCCCAATGGTTATTAGCAGCAAAAGGTATCTTGTGCTGAAATTCAAATGAGGGAGGGCAAAGCTGTTAAGAAAATAGCAGTATCTCTAATTCCTCTCCGGAAGAGGCAACCAATTTAAAAAGAGAGGAAAGGATAGAGGAAACCCAGGGAGAGATTTTGCCTAGTAGCAGGGACAGGGAGGCTGTCAAATACCCCAAAAGGGTAGAAAAGCAGGGGTAAGTCCAGCCCTGGGATGCACGAAGACATGTGCCATGAAGGTACAGACAGTCCCCAGGTTACGTACAAGATAGGGACTGTAGGTTTGTTCTTCAGTTGAATTTGTACGTAAGTCGGAACTGGCGTCCAGATTCAGCTGCTGCTGAAACTGACCTGCGGCTGACTACAGGAAGTCCAAGGCAGAGTTTCTCTGCCCTGGGCTTCCTGGAATCAGTCGCTGATCAATTTCAACAGCGGCTGAATCTGGACGCCCGGGCCAGCTGCGCCGA